TCAGTGACCCATGCCCTGTATGTAGGGACATTCGTTCACATTGACTTAAAATACATGTTCAGTTAGTATTCACAGAGAAAAAAAAAACAGTCGGACTCCGGAGAAACAGAAATAATTGGCATAATTTCACATTGGCAACAAGTCTTGGTAAAAATTAAAAAGAAAATGACGAAAAAGGGTTTATTTTGTAAAACGTGACAAAGGTTGGCACTCAAACGGTTTAATAGACTATCTTTGAGAATTATTTATATAACATTTTAAATTGCACAAAAAGGAATCTTGAGAAAACGACCATGAAAAAAAGATACGTATAATAAATTAAGAGCGCATGCGCAATACTCGTCGAAAGAATGCTTGAGGAAAAAAAAACGTTTCTAGCTTACGAACCATACATACTATTTGAATAATCATTTTAACCACATGAATAATCATTTTAACCACATTGAACTTGATGATGACATTGTACATATTCACGTAGTATGCAATATAGACTTAATTTTAACAAAGTCCCTCGGCATCTCTGATATCTCGGCAAACCCTCTGGTTACAGGTTCAGGTTAACGTTTAAATTTGACTCCGATAACATTTAAATGTGTTGTACAGCATTTAAATATGACATTATATATTTGTACCGCGATCTCGGTGTGGTAAATTATAGGTTTTACCCGAGTTTTCACAATATCTTAATTTTATCAAAGCGTCAAGACTTGAGAATAAGGACCAGATGATGTTTTTTTTTTGATACCTCAGCAAATACGACAGGTACAAAAGGCAGTGGGGCTTCAGGTTAAGGGCAATCCTGGTAACATTTAAATGCGTTGTATAGCCTTTAAATATGACATTATACATTTGTACTACGATCCCAGTGTTGTCAGTTAGGTTTTACCCGAGTTTTTACACATCTGTTCATTTCAAGTTGTAAATAACGCTATTTTGACACCATTTGCGTAAAGATCTCGGAGTGCTTTCTATACAAAAAAATCTGTATTTGTAGTTCGCTCATTCGTAATTGTACGTGACCGACTTCTAAAACATGGCGACTACTCGACTCTTAGTTTTCACATCGCATTCTATTTGACAATAACCTTGTATAAGGTCACTTTGCCCATTCACTTGTATCTAGAACAATATTTCGGTAAGATTTGGTGATAATCATGTGGTTATATTTAAAAACGAAAAAAAAATATTCTTGATGCTTACTGTTTTGATCATCAGATCACTCATTTTCATTTGTTAGTTCATTCATTCGTAAAGTTTATTGTTGTCTTCATGCTTTGCCTTCCATGTTACCATTGGCAAATTAACCCTTGAGGATCATAACTCAACACGTGAGGTTATGGTTTACATATTGTAATGTAAAACCCATGTGTGCATGGAAGAAATGGTGAACTGTTAGTGTGACGTCACTGGGAATGCATGTGAGTTACTAGAGACATGTACAAGCATATTAACCCAACATGTCCTGGCCACCATTAGGAAATATACCACCAGTCCAACAACACCATCCACACACCATGATGGTGCTTTATGCACTGTAGAATTAACTTATTAATCCACCATGGCCTAGTTTTCATCAGATACCCCACCCAATAACAAACATGCCCTGGTTTATTTAAAAAAAAAAAACATTTTCTTTTCGATCAGTATGACATTGTTTTCAATAGACAATACGCTACCACCATTTTCACAGAACCATCAAGTTCACGTTCTATAACAGACTGTGTTATCGTAGATAGTTCGATATATAGGTCCGATTTGATTGCTGCTATGATATCAACATCACAAGTTCGGTAAGCTTTGCAGACACCTTAATGGTAAAACAATATAAAATATTCCCATCGATATTGCACACATGGTTCTCAGATGAGTAAGCCAGGTAAGCGTTAATAATAATGTCATCCCATCTAATGCGCATGTGCACACAAGTATTTTCAAGACGGCCTTGTCAGTCTCGTAATTTGGCTTGGTAATGAGCGAGGGTCGATCAAACCAGTGCTTTACCCCCCCCCCCCACGTTTTGTACTTGTCTAGGCAAACACATATAGGGCCAATCTGATGTAGTGTACGGGCTTTAATTATTTTGGCTATAAACTTGTTTTAATTTTATTTTGTATTACTTTGGTTATTAATGCCCTTTTATTAAAATAAACTTTTTAAAGTCAATATCCTTAGATTGCCCGTTAGTACAATTTATTTCAAAATGAATAAATTGTGCGTATTTGCTTTTATGAGTAGGCTTATACATTAATGACAACCGCCGTGGTGACAGTTATAAAGTCATGGTCGATACGCAGCGTGACCAAAGTGCGTTAACCGGTGAACTCGTAGGTGATCACTGAATGATCGGTCAAACTCATCATGATAAGATAAACAACTGTGCATTTCAATCGTTTATTTCAACCGCAAGCTTACAAGTCAATGACATATTGTTCTTTACTTGTAAATGCAATAACTATACAGAGCCTTTGCTTAATAGGATCTATGGCATGCATTAATGATCGTGGTAAAGTTAGCCATTTTGACGACACCTATGCCCTTTGTTGTTAACACACGGTCCCTTATGGAAATCGTACATACTCAGGCTGGCTAAGCGATGACCTCGATTCCGGTCATCCCAAAGCGCGACATCGGGACAATAATTCTTTACAATAATGTACGTTTCTAATTCATTTCAGTGTAAGGAACAATCCGGCGCATGACAGCCATAACAATTGACCGTGACTGCGCCGTACGCACAGTGCCTTGTCAATTGCATAGAGCCAAGTTTCGTATCTGACAACACGAGATAGCAAAACCCTCAGATTAGATATCACTGTCAATGTTGATGTGATTTCAGAGTAATATCTATTTGGATATACTTTAATCCAACAGAAAATGATCATGCGTTTAACGCTCCACAAGATATACGGCAATTCATACAGAGTTGTTCCTGAACGATACGACCGGCGGCTAACAGCGGACAAATATATGTAGGCATGTTTGACACTGTTTATATACTGTAGGCATTTGATGATCAACATTTTTCAATTTATCAAAAAGACAAGGGTGAAAAATAGATTTTTGTTATGCAAATCGAGCACGATGCGGAAACCTTTCATTTAAAGAAAAAAAGAAATGCAGTATAATAGCTTGAATATAGAGTTGTATGGTTGTGTACAATTTGTTATTTATAAAGACGATACCTTGAACCGTGCCGTCACCACTGAGCTCGACATCGTTCAGCGTGACAGAGTTGTTAGTCGCCCCGTAGTTTGTATCGACGCAAGCCATGATATTAAGTACCTCGTACAATTGCAATACTTGACGAGTCCCCTTTGTACGTACTTTCCCAGCAGTTGGAATACGTTTGGTTTGGTTACTAAATGCGTAGCTGATACTCCGATGCAATAATGGCCTAAATTTCGTGACAACAATGTGAGGCAGGCGGAGCCAAGCTGTTAACTGGAACGGATACGTGAGGGAGAGCTAGTGATTATTGAACAACGCCTACAGGTTATTATCGTGTGTGCTTCACTGGTATGCTTTCATATTTCACAATAGCACTAATGTGGCCCAGTTATAGTGCACGAGGACAATCTTCAGCGCCCCCAATCGACGGGCGGCTACCTCTTCTACTAATAGCCGTACAGAATTCTTGTGATTTTTTGTGATAAATGATAATATGTTTCCAAACCAATAATGGCGAAGTGTAAATAAAATAAGTCATTTGAAAGTCGTACAGCGCAGTGAAACTGGGAATTTATTGCGCCGCCTTATTTCATAGATTTAGGACAATGTATGACATCCAATCCACTGAACGTAAAATCTGCGAAGATTTAGAATCAGTTTTCAAGATTTGATGACATCTGTCTAATGTTAGTATTTATTTAACAATATCGGCAGATAATTCTGAATAAACACTGATTACGTGCAGTGATCCATGGTTAAATCGCCTGTCAGACTCCCAGAAACTTCATCCCCAATTTAATTAAAGACCAAATCGGCCCAGCCGTAGAAAACACTTTGGCGTTATTCTTATCTATGTATATTACATCATGTTAATGTCATACCATTAAGAACGCAAACATATAAAGCTTATCAAACCATGTCGCCAATTCCATTTTGTCAACCACCGATTTACAACTTGTATGCGCTGATGGCTGTTCAGAATATGGTAAAATCATGGTATTATATATGAAACATTAATTTAAAAGGCAACATCGAGAGATTAAAGGACGTTGCTGCTAAAACAGAAACACCATATATCGCTATTACTATCATCATCAATGATAACCCTGTATAACGTATGCACGCACTTCACTCGTAGCAAATATCGTAAAAAAATGTAGTGGTGAGCGATCATAATTTCTACGATCAAATTCGGGTGATTGAATTGAGCATATGGATTTAATTTAATATTATTTCTAAATATTAACTTGAAATTTCAAGTTTAAACTGATCATTAATTTAAACTGTATGTTAACAATACATTCTGTTCACCGGGATGGATATAGGAGTTGGTCGGGGACTCGGAGGGTGCACCACTGTAATGACGTCATTGCTATATCGCATCATGGTATCAGCACATATATGAGTAACATTGGTTAACGATGACGACGTACATCAAAGCTCCCCAATTCGCAACAGCCGTGGTGGTACAAATTTGCTAAATCATGGTCTCTTGATGTTTACAGCGCATAAACCACCCGTGTTTCGCGCTCGTTGTTTGAAAGTTGTGCCGGTCAAGTGACTACGATTTAACTCGTACATAACCATATATACCACGGTTAGCAACCCCGCACAGCTAGCCTTACTTTACTGCCAGTCAATATATCCACGGTGTAGCAGACTTTTTATGCATGCATGGAATCATACATTGACAGATATGTTTGAGTCACATTGGAAGACTGAGCCGGGAATTGTTTCACAATATCGATCCCCTAGCAGTGATCGATATCGTACCTCGGTTGCCAGAGTCGTCGCACTTTGTATAACTGAGTCACGTTGAAAACAAGAAAAAAAAGAACGATTAGGACACATGAATGATCCCACGATAAGACAGCGGTATGAGCACGTAAACTAGTACATTGCGTTAAATTACGCGTATAACAAATTACCATAACGATTCTCACAACTGTAAAGAAAGACTGGAAATTAAAGTTTTAGTAATGTCGGAATGGTCAACGCTCATTCCAAGACTATCTAGTTTCCGAACAGGTAATGTCGTCCGAGAAGACCCTCGAATATCTCCGATACTACAATTTCGTTTTCTAAATAGTCCACACAATTTAAAGCGCGGTGGTCGTCGCGCAGTGCGTGTTCGAATTTCATGTAAATAAACAGTGTATTTTACACGCGTTGTATACGTCGCTATGAGTCCCATATCGAACAGGGCGCGGCACGACTGCAGCCCTTTAAAAACACAGGTTTACATTGCATCAAAATATTTTAACCAGAATGAAGTTGATATAATAGTTACTTGTATAACAACGGAGGAAGTTGTCACGTTTTGTGTTTGTGTTCTTTGTAGTTAGCATGATTGGTTCTTAGGGATTGGTCAGTTACTCCAGCCTAGGGAGGTCGGCAGATTCCATTTTGCCAGCTGTAAATCTCAGTTGACCCACCCCCTATCAAATAAAAATAAAGTGGGCGACCCCTCCCCCAACATTATATTTTAAAACATGCTGACCCCCCTCCCCGAAAAACAAAGAAACATTAACAGTTTTGGCTCTGACATGATTACAAAATGTATTATATGTGCATTGAAAATATCATGGTTTGCCGTAATTTTTAGTGTTTGCATTTAATAGACCTTAGGGGGGGGAGCATAAAGCCAAAACTTGAAAACGACTACAGAAAAGGCTGCAGGAATGAGGGAAATCTATGCTGCTAAAGATAGTGAATAAAAACAAAGCTGTGGAGTACTCACTTGATAAACGCCCTTATAAGATAGGAAAAGAGGATTTGAATCTAGGCGGTTCGAAAACTAATTTGGATTTAATATATCTTTCATATCTTATAGACCAGGAATGCTTTACACCCGAAGCACAGTCTGTGCTTATGGAAACAAAGGAAACTTTGATTTGTGCTTAAATTTGTGTTGGATTTTGGTATTTTACAGAGCAAAATATGCATATTTAAAAGTTAAAAAAAACAGAAAAATTATTTATTTATTTTTTCATCATTTATTTATTTATATACATGTATCAGCATTTTCACAAATTTAACTTTTTTGATTTGCTGAACAAAAACTGTCACTGCTCTTTGTACTAATTGCTATGTTTTTCCGTCTCCAGCTATAATTGGCTAAATACAGTAAATATCTTATATACAATGGTGACTTCAGACTTTAAATAAAATAATCTGATATCACATGGACTTGGAATGTGTTTAAAACTTAACTGTATAATTGCATGGGGCTCTGCCGCATTGCATAATCTGTTAGTTATTTGGCAGCTTCAACCCCAAAATATTTAGCCTATAACATTTTTTGCATCAACAAATTTATAGGCAATATGGGTAATAGTTATTATTAAGGACACATTTGTACGATTAACTTTTTATCTTCTTTTCTGAAATAACATTTTAAAAAATATATGCATATGCGTGTGTGAATTGTGGAAAACATGGTGACCCCCTATTCATGATATCAAAAAACAGGGTGACCCCCCTATTCGCAAAATCAAAAACAGGGTAACCCCTTACTGATCCACCGAACCCCCCCAGGCCAAAGTAATTGACCAATCCCTTATACTGATTTAACGATTATAGCGCAGGCGGCAGTCCAGACGTGATGAAAGCAAATGGCGTTAACCCTAGACTTGCTTGCAGTCTGTTGCAGTGCAATTTCGAGTGAAAGCGAAAGTCATGTGTTCGCGATCACATGACTTTGCGTTCACCCCTCGTTTACGCAATTTACATTTATTTTTCAAGAATTTTTCATCGGAATCGCAACAGCTTGCAAGCAAATCTACGTTAACCCGTAAACGCCGGATATTCGTACACATTGATTTTCATCTTCAAATGAACACACACCCCACACACCCGACAGAATGCTGTGGGGTTGGAGCCGCCTCTCACTTCACCATGTCAGGTTGCAGATTCACTAGCCTTTTCTACCGTATGACTACAGAAGGAAGGGTTCAGCCACGTGGAAATATCCCTTGCATACGAATACGAAGAACAAAGTTCACTTTCCCGGAGTATTTGAAACCAAAATCGTCATTTAACTGTAAGGCCGTCCCTAATTGGTTCCAGGAACGAAGATTGAAGTTTGTTAGCGACTGGCTTGTGTTTGGTATATTTTTATTGAATTGTAGGAATCTGCAGACGCGTTTCTCAACTTGCTTCTTTATTTAGATACAAGCCGTATTCAACTTGAAGATGGCGCCCCCATGTAGTATATATTGTTAAATTGATCACATTTATTTAGTATCATCTGTTCGACAAATTTAAAACTGCAACAATAGATGGCGCACCAACGACTTGGATGAAATTGTCGTGTTCAATTGATATCACCGAAGAGGGCGCAAGACGCGGACGGGACTGCACTTCAACGAGAACTTCATATAATAATGTGTACAATTTTAGAGTTGCGGAACTTGAGTAGACTTAGTAGGGCAGTCAGTTGTGTTCTCGTGTGATTAAAATGTGTAACCATTCAACTACACTGTTAAGGGAGATGGAGTCAAACTTAAATTTCACACGACTCAGCATGTTACTGCGCACATATGCAATGAACTATGGGAAATAACTAAAAATAAATCGTGAAAGTCATATAGACTTTCTATGAAATGTCCACTGCTACAAACTTTCGCAATTTTCACTGAAATTGGCGAAAATGTGTCGATCGTGAATTTAAAGCGCTTCACAGTATTACCACACTAGAAACGCACTAAATAAATTTTCATTTTTTAAATAGTTCAACAAAATTAGGATTTATATCAATAATACATGAAAATGACTTTGTATCTTACGACAACAGCCTGAGGCTACATTTTAATATGAAGAAATAATTCCACCATAAAAACCTTTTCCGTCACATTTTTGACTCTTGTTTCTCGAGAAACCTGACTGGTGACCCATTTTTTCCCATTTTCAGTACCCTAATGGCATTAACCCACACACAATGAAGAAGTATGACGAAAGTGACACATATACTATTCAATTGGGTCAAAAATGAACACATGAGAAGGTGTGTACCAAAATGATGTACAAGGACAGCTGAAGCGACAATGCGGGCGTATTTAAATAGATAAATTAGAATAGCTGGTAATTCATTGATCTTGAAGTAATCGTTAGTTGCCATGGAATTCTGTTACAATGACTGTAGTTAAAATTGTATTTTTCTGCACGAGAAGAGGACGAATATGCGCACGGAGTAGGGACGCGGGCCGTGAGTGTGACCCCGGTGATTCAGTCGATTACCACGGACCTATTCATATTGTGATACCCAAAATTTTTAACTACACGAAACAACTGTATTTATATTCTGTTTTATCGCAATAAAAGAAGAAGAATTGTTTCAGTTGATTTCACATGTTTTTTTCTGTTCATGTTTCCAAACAAATCGGAAATAAAAAAAAAGAAGTTACGATTAAATCAATATTTGGTCATGCATTAATTACATCACTATGACGACAGCTAATATAAGGTATTGTGCCGTCAATTGAGGAAGCTAACACGGCCTTACCTAATACGGTTATCTGTCGTGCGTCAACCATCGTCACCTGCAGGATTAGAGATTAGAGAGAGGTCTGTCTGTGATCTGCTTATCATAATAATCGCAACCTTTAAACTAGCTCAGAGTCTGTTGTTTATCAGCCAATCGAAATCATGTATTTCACGTCGCCATATATGGGTAATTCTCCTCCAGGTTCGATAACTCGAATTCGCCTTGGTTGATGCTATTTTCGTTAGAGGGGTGGCCGAGCTCATTGAAATGATGAGAGGTGTGATATTACGTCCACTATACGCTTTCCAATTAATTATAATGCTGATTTGTGATATGAACATAAACGTTGTAACGTGTCGATCACATTATTTCGGGTAAATTCACGTGGAAACGTAAGTTAGTGTTAACAAAAATCACCCACAGAATTAATGGACAAGTTTACTATTAATGTGAGTACACGAGCCAGGCTCTTCCTCCATCACCCAGGTCTGTTGGCGGCTGGTGGATCGTTAGATATACATTTTATCCTACAGGTATGTAATATTTTCAACTTTTAAACAAACTGTGCCATTTTTTGGTCTATTTTCACGATGGAAAGAAAATTAGAAAATTCCACTGGCAGTTCTCAACACATCGACTGTGCGTTATTTCTTGAATTGAATTCTGACGGGACGTATGAAATATACAACCGGAGCGCGCGACGCAGCACCTCGTTTGCTCGTTTTCTACTACACTACTACCACTACCCAATTATATACAGACATGCAAACTCAAATATACAGGAACATTTCCTAGAATAACTGAAAATTTGAGCACGCAATTGAAGATAGATGATATGAAAAGTTTACACGACATCCGCAGACACCAATTTTAACTGTTATTACATTCATATTCACGCCATCAGTAGAACATACAGTGTGTGTCTACGTCCAATACAACAACGATTTATAAATCCGAGTGTTGAGTTTATGTGATGTCTACTTCCTCGTTTTCGTCGGACAGCCCACATAAATTTATTGACAATAGGTATTTGTCAGTCTCATCAGTGTTTACGTAACTTCGTTTGTGCGAATTACAGCATTAATTTTATTTCGGAGATGACATTGCATATATGCTGTTGACGAACAAAAAGCCCGAATAAAGTTCAGTTTAGTGAAGCACCCAAATTTGCACTATAGAGTACCACGCCTTTACTCGACCTCATTTATCGATGTGTTTGTAACGTACGTGCTTAAAAAAAGACCGCAGTTAACGACTGTTACAAAGGTGAGCCTCATTGAACAAGAACGGGGTCACATGGGACATATTACAGACTAGTATATCAGCCGATCATCTATGTACATCGGTCTCTTGTAGTTGTTGTATTTCACAGGTGTGATCATCAAATGATACAATGCAGTAGCAGACATGACAATAAAATATTATAATAATTGTCGATCAGATAGTACATTGCTCCGGACACAACACATAAAGACCGGTCACTGGTAGCATAGTGGTTGTCGCTCCCGACTCATGATCGGTTGACCCAAGTTCAAATCCTACCTTAGGCTGAACATCAAAGGGTCAACCCCTGCCCTGGGTGAGTGTGCCACAGACTCAATGAGAAGGCCAATTCCACTGGCCGATTATTGATTTATTATTCAGTAAAGGATTATGGGTAGAGCATGACATCATATAATCTGTTGTCAGAAATTGAGAAAATGATTTCATCTATAACTTCGAAAGTTGAACTTCAAATTGGCTGAAAGTTTAGAACATGGTAGCATACATGTACCGGTGCATGATCTTGAGAATCAAGATGGCTGACAACATAATACTGATGAAAAGTTGAATATCGGGAGAATGAAAAGTGATATAAAACAACCCTAAATTGCATTCTCCTACTTTGTGGAGCTTTTGCATCCTCCTACTTTGTGGAGCTTTTTCATTATGTTGTTTGGCTTGATGTTTCCTTCAAGTTTTTCTTTTGGATAATATTGCCTAAAAGGCAATTACATGAACACAATGTTTCATTGGTGTGGCCTAAGACTTTCGAGAAAGACTGGCTGTGGCTAAACCCAGACGCAATACCATATTTCTATCAAGGGTAAATCTTTTCCACGGGGTTCTCCACACTGTCAGGGGGGAATCTCGTCTCGTCTCTCTATCGCGTCCCCTTGAGGTACGGGATCGGGAAAGTCACTTTAACTTTACAGTCAAATAAGGCACACACAACGAAATACGTTTCAACTCTCGTCTTAGTCGATCTTTTGGAGCACTCTATAAGACACAGCGCCCTGGGGAAAAATCCCCAAGACTCTCACAAGGCTGAACCAAGACTCGCCCAAGACTGGACTGCCTCAAGGCTCGCCCCTGGATGGACTCGACTCTCCAGGACT